GTCACTCATATTGTGGGGCACCCAATTGTCGAGTTTTTTCACCTTCCCAATGCGTTCCAGACCATCTGCAACAGTGGATTTGCCAAGGCCTAGCTCTTCTGCTATCTCTCGAACTGTTTGAAATTCTCGTCAGGTTGCTCTTTTGACAGAAGAGCAACCTCGGACCGATATTTTTCTACCGATTTTGCTTCAAAAAGTCTTGGGAAAAGGGGGTTATCAAGCAATGGTGAAACGGCAATTATACCATCAGATAGCGCAAAGAATTCTCTTCAGGATGTACTACTGAGACGCAAGGGAGAATGAGTTTTTAATCAGCAATGAATGTACAAAAAATAGTAACACAAAACGCTGAGAACTTTCCGGACAACCTAATATAATAAGTAGCTTTAGCCGATATCTGCCAAGACCATCCTGGAGATGACTAATCTGGTGAATTCTGATACTCGCACGACATTTCACACCTTTGAGTCGCAGGCATTTGCTAACTGGATATGTTCCCATCTCCCGAAAGCTGCGAGTTTCCGTGTTGATGATTTGGAGGTAAGCGGTCCAGAAATTTTCGTCGATTACCAACAATTTCAAAGGGTATCTTAGTTTCTTGACTCATACAACTGCCTCCATCGTGCCATGTCAAAGTCCGAGAGTGTGATGAAGAACAGACTGCCTGGTATCCAGAAGGAGTTCTTACCTCTTGATTTTAGGAAGGCTATTGGTGATGCTAACGATTTCGGTAGGTTATGTTATTGTGTTTTTTTACTATAGCCCGATGGTCCCAATGATACGACTCCAATTTTTTTTCAAATTAACGTGAAACTGCCTCTTTGAACCCTGAAAATGTATTCAGTCAAATTAATATCATTGTTGTAAATAAGCAATGAAACGGTTTTTTTTCAAGTTATTTATATAGAAATCAGCTGATAGTGATTAGCCGTGAGCTGTGGCTTCGTGGATCACTGACTAGCCGGTCTAACAACGTCTTGTTCGCTGCGGATGAAGGGGCGTGTTGAGCGGGGTGTGTTTGATTTGCGGCGCAACCCGTTTTTACACGAGCTTTTGAGGCGAGGGCAAGCAGTTTCACGTCCATTCGGTTGACTACGCCCCTTCATCCGTAGCGAATAACAGCCTGTAGCGTGTTTTGATTTCATTTCTTTCTTGACCATTTAATGAGTGTGCTCACAGCGAAAGCACCAAAGGGCAGCTGGATTGATCGTTGCTCTGTTTTCCGGAATTAGGCTCACAAAAGTCTCTCTTCCTAAAAGCGTTTCTTTGCCTTTTTGAACTGGTCTAATCGCGGGGAGCGTTGATGGGTTAAGCCGTAAAATAGTCCTTGGAGGAGCTCAAGCAAGTCAATACGATTACCACAAAATATATTTGGCACATTCTCTCGGCGACACGGGCGCTATGACCGAAACACCTCCCACCAGATTCGCTGAAAACTCGGTGAATCGAAAAGTTCATTCTCTGGGTGACTTGCGTTCGTTTCACACACCGGGACTACAGACGACGGGCACGTTGTCCCAGTCTGGAAATGAAGCGTTTTGTGCTGAACGCATGCAGCATTCGCTTTCGTAGGGGAGCATCGAAGCAGTCTAGGAAGGGGGTGTTCCGTGGCCAAATCTGCCCTCATTGACAGATTTTAAGATTATTGGAGCTCATATCTTGCAGGAGGTCAGTCCGCTAGCGCATCTGCCCACCTTCTTCTAACACGTTGACGACATCGCGTTTTGCGGGATATAAGCGCACCACGTGGGACAGATGGGCCGGTGCTTTCGCATGGCCTTCCGCCCTAGCCCCGGTTGGGCTCAGGTTTCCCTCGTGACCAGCGTTTTTTTGCCGGCTGTGTCCAAATTTCGCAACGAAAACAACCCCATGATAGTCTAGTTATACGGAAATGCTATTTCAACCATATTTGACCCTATTGGATGCCACCTCATGCCCCGCCCACTGCGATCAAGCCCACTTTTTAGCGCGATCGTGATGTGTACCATAACTTCAGTTTCCGAGAATTTTCTTGGAATTTTCTGTTTTTCACCACCATTACATGACTCACTGATGGCCACAGCCACGACCGGACCCATAGGCGATGACTTCCCACTTTTTAACAGGTTTGTTTTATATTTAATTTTCATACCTTATCTCAACGTTGACGCTTTCAAACACACTCTTCACATATTGCTCACAGACAAGCAATTGCACGAAGATGCAATCCGCACACTTAGCTCCCCTCAGGATTTCTAGCAATATTTTATTATCACTATTTATCCATATTTTATTTCCACTATCCATACTTTATCACTTGTTCACCATCTCAAGATCACCAAACGGCTCCACCCACTGTGAGAGGCCCCTGCCACTTCGCACAAGCTCCACCTACACCTGCGAAAATGCCTTGATCTAAAAGTACAGTCTCGCTCGTAGACCAGAAGAAGCCAGACTGCTTCACTGGGGGGGGGGCGGGGGGGGGAAACTGCGTGCTGTGGATCAATAACTACCAAGAACAACCATATAGGAACTCCTTGCGGATGCCGTTCATGTGGGATGTCAAATCACCTAGGTGTAGAGGTTTCTATCAAATTCTGTGTCAAAAAGATCGCTGGCGCCAAAGTGGCGCCCGCTGGCGCCAGGTGGCGTCAACCTGGAAGGAAACGATACATTTCATGTGACAAGGATGTCAAATAACCTAGGCGTAGAGGTTTCTATCAAATTTTCTGTCAAAAAATCGCTGGCGCCAAAGTGGCGCCCGCTGGCGCCAAGTGGCGCCGACTCCGGAAGGTAACAATATATTCGTGACAAGATGTCAAATAACCTAGGTGTAGAGATTTCTATCAAATTCGGTGTCAAAAGACTGCTAGCGCCAAAGGTGGCGCCTACTGGCGCCATATGGCGCCAATGACAAATGAGATCTCACGTTCATTATCACAGACCCGCGCAGTCCCTGCAGCCAAGGTTTCGTCCAAAAAGAACTATTTTGGAGGTTTCTGCCGCAGCAGTAGCTAGTTGAAAAATTTCAATTTTTAATTCAAAATATCTCATGGGGGCAGCAACATTTTTCTTGCTCATCCTTGTTGGAAACTCACCTTCCACAGGTTACTCGAAAGCAAGAAAAAGATCGATTGAGACTGCCGGCAATAACCCAAAAAGTGATGGAGAAAGTCATGAGCCACCGGTGGCTCAGATTGTCCCACGTGGCCACTCACTCATGAGCCACCCGTGGCCGGTGGCTCAGGATGTCGTCAACGTGTT